TTACCAATCAAATGATTGTGCTTGTACAAACTGAAACTACCACTACCAAATTTAAAAGAGTATCCAGCAACATCAAGTTTGGAAATTGAAACTAAATTCCTAGATATACTAGGGACATACAAAGTTTCACATAAGTCCAAATGATATCCACTGTCGAGAATTAAACGATACGTCCCAACAGCTTCCACCGGAACTTTCACTCTATTGCCCATAAAGACAAACTTTTCATTTGGCCTTGTGAATTTTAGAAGAAGAGGCCTCATTCGCTTTAAGGGGTCCTCCTCCTCCTCCTTTCTTCTCATGCTTCTTACCTTTATACTTTTCAGCTTCTTGATGCTTTACATAATTGACAGAATGAGCTCCCTGATTCTTAATTCTGGTTTCTTCCTGAACTAACATAATGTGCAATTCATGCACATTCCATTTGTCTTTCATGGTATTATAGTTCATTTGGAAAAGACCATACTCAGACGGTAATGAGTTCAATACGAACTGCACCAGGAAGTTCTCATCCACAGCCATTTCCAATGATTTTATTTTTGCCGCAATGCTTGTCATTTCAATAACATGCTCATGCATAGTACGCGAATCATCAAACTTCATGGTGGTCAGTGTACTCATAAGTGTCCCAGCAAGAGACTTATCAGCGGTTTGGGAGCGCTCTTCCACAAGTTTCATCATTTCGATGGCACTTTCAGTTTGTGGAAGAGCTGACTTAATGTTGCTTGTTATGCTCATTTTCATGTACATCAAACTTAATCTGTTGGATCTTTACCAGTTCTTAAAATGGTTTCTTTCATCCTCAGTGCTTTCAGGAGTAATAGCACTAGGTTCCTCTTCTCTTAGAGCCAAATTCATATCCATTACCCCAAGGTAAAAATTGATTTGCTCTTTCCATTCAAAGAAGTTTAGCCCATTAAAAACTGCAACAATTAAGAACATGGAATGTGTGGCAACAGGTACTACAAGGAATAATATTTAAACATTAATGCTTTGAGTCATACATGTCACATACTGACATACTTCACAGATTCAACTATACTAACTTCAATGCATATCAATGTTCACCTTTGGGGATCCATTAACATACAACATTAACTATAATGATGCTATATAAATTTCACATAATTTGGCAATGATGCATACCCCTATCATAATTATTTGTCATCTTTGGATGTCCAAATGTGAGGAAATATGTCAACAATACCAACATCTATGTTCATTTTATAAAACAAATAATCAACCTTTGGGTTGATCCCCAACTGTTTTATAATAATGAACCTCAATATACCACAACCAGAAAATTATATCATACTATTCATAGCATCACAGTCATGGTAATTGAAATAGAATTCATAATGTTTGAAATTAAAACCACTCTTCAAGATTTGGCCACTTTGGTGACTAACAAATCTTTATCATAATTAATTTCAAAACTTTGTCCAACTTTCATATGTATTAATGTCCTTTCATGTTTTCCCAATAATTCATAAAATGGAATAAACATATGACAATGACACACTTTCCCAGTACAAAGACCAGAGAAATGGCGCGGGTTAGCGCCATTCCCGCACGGTTCCGCGCGGTGGTCCAATTTCACAACCCGCAAAGTGGCGCGGGTCTGGGCTAGTGTTCCCATACGTTTTCTAGTGAGTTGGCGCGGGTTTGCGCCACATTCCAGAAAATGAAATTGTACAGAAACCGTAAAATTTGCAGAAACCGTAAAGGATAAACACCATTATCAGGAAGAGCAACACAGTAATATATCATCATGTTTTCATAAGGTGTAGTATTTGATCATTATTTAACAACACAACATGGATTTTGTTCCCATTTCTTTCCCATAAGAATTTTCAATAATGAGATTCAGAGGAATCAACAATCATGTTGATCAAAATTTTCAGAAAAACCCCATCTTTTCATGAATTAAGAGATCATACATAATTGTTTATGGAAAATCACAAACTCTTAAACACATGCTCTGATACCACATGTAAGTTATTCATCAGCAATTCAATAATTCATGTTCAATATTCTACATGCAAGAACATGATACATGATCTTTAGAGATCATGATTTTCACATAAGAGCGTACCTTTCTCCATTAGTGCGGAAGAACTTTGATGATGGAAGATTGTTTCTCAGAGTCATTACCCTCTGCTTTCCTTGTATCGTCTATGACAGGGATCTGATACAACTTTTATGGGCAGACCATGAAGGAGAGAATTCTGAGAGATAATCATAATCAGAGACTCACCATTTTTCTCTTTATATAACTGAACCATGTCACCAGTTACGGAGTTTCAAATAACTCCCTGTAACTTCCCATTAATGCGAAACGTCAATTACTATTTCTGCAAAACGTTACCATAATGCAAAACGTCAAAACGTCAATTATCATTAATGCGAAACGTCAATTACCATAAAACCTCTTTTATTATTAATTAAACCAATTGACACACATTACACATGAGACACAAATAGTTTTACAGGCTCATCACAAAGAAAGCTCGCTCAACCTCTGCTTTAGAAATTTTCATTGCTAGATTGCAGTTTATCATGTATCATCTAAACTTGGCCAAGTAGATTTAGTATTGTGCCAATCTCGTAAGGGCTGATCGTCCATGAATAGGTTTCGGAAGAATTCACAAGCTAACTGTTGAAGGTGAAACTCGTCACTGATCCAGTGTCCCTGATCATTTTTTAGCTCTGTCACCTTATTCTTCCTTCGACGAGATATTGTCTTTGTATGGTAATACCTAGTATTTCGATCACCATCACGGATCCACCGCCCTCTAGACTTGAGATACCAGAGTTGTTCCTCCTGCTCTAGGACTGTATCTAGCTCCTTGGTGAGTTTGAGATGCAGGCCTTCAAGAGAAGGATTGTGTTGACAATCTAGTTTCCGTTGAATATCATTGATTCTACTTAGAAGAACATTTTTACGGTGAAAGGTGTTTTCAAAGATTGCCTTGTTCCACTCCTTTAACTTTGGAGTGACTAGTTTCAGGTTGCCGTAAACATCAATATTATTGGGCTAGCGTATATCGCAGTGAGTGAGCAGGAAAGGAGTGATTCCATTCCGACTAACCTTGAGATGGATATGCTGGCTACTTCTTTCAATCTCTATTAAGTCACAACCATCATTCTTCCACATGCACCAAATGCCACCCGAAAACCCCATTGCATCTTCAACTATGGAATTTGAAAATCCAAGCTTCTTAATTGTGTTACTAGCTTTTCCCCCACTTATTCTAGGCTCCATTATAATCACTATACTGACTGTGTGATTTTGATCAGCAAGAATAATGGTAAAGTCTCCATTAGCGATTTAGCCATAACAAAATCATTTCCGGGTAAACTCTGTTTATTAGCACGTGGCTTATTATTTATATTTGTTTTTATCCTTTTTATCCCATGAATTTCATGGGTACACAACCAGTAATATTCATTACAAAAGGTTCAATGACAAAAAACCAGTTTGCAGAGATGCATAAATATACGATTGCCACAGCAGAACTAAAGTATTTTTTTTTTATTTATTGCAAAAAGTATCATTTGAGTTCTTTCTTTTTTTAGTTTCTCCTAATTAATTATATCAAGTGGAGGGCACACTAACACAGTCGGTGATATTTTCTAAAGAGAATTTCTCTTTTGAAAATCATTTGCGGGGTATCAAGGAGGCCGTACGAACTGAAAATGACAAATGAATGATTAAAATAAAGAAACATGCATAATTAGACCATTGCCAACAGGGGATCTTCTTTAAAAAAACTCGGTATGTGTTAACAAATGGGTATACATAACTCGTGCGAAATAGGCTTTGAAATCTGTTTCGAAAAATACTTTTTTTAATTTTTTTTTAAAAATAAAAATAAAAATATTTGATAAGTCTTATTTTGTAAAAAATAAATAAATATTATAACTGTTTTTTTTTTTCTAGAATCAAATTTAAAGAACATATCTAAATTATTTTTATTTTATGTTTTGACTTTTAACTTTTAAAAAAAAAAAATATAAAACATCCAATTCATTAACTATTTTACAAAATAATTTTAAGAATAAAAAAATCAGAACACAATCAAATACACACATAATTATATTTTAGTAAAAAATGCATATTTTACCGCAAAGCATTTGGAATAATTAATTGGTAGAGATTATTTCAACTTAAACATTATTCTCAAGTTCAAGTTTCCACCTGTATTAAAATCTTGGTTGGGAGAGAAATTTTTTTAATAAGAAATGCATATTTCTAAATATACGGATGATATATATTTTGTATATATTACTATTTTACGTCGAAGAGTTTTTATAAGCTTTGCACGCAGTACCTATTTTATGTATACAAAATCACTCCACTCAAATGGAGAGTCAAATAGGATGACAAATAAAACAAGGGAAGCTGAGAAGGGGTATGCCCTCTCAGTCCTCAGTCGATGGTAGATTAAGTGAAAAGCAGAATTGCAGTTCACAGAAGAATAGTTCAAAGAATTTGTTTACCCAAAGAAGGTAATTGCTTTCCTCTTTCTCGGCCTTGCTTTCACCGGCTTAAACTACCTCTTAATTCTCTTATTCTTGATCGATTGGATCAACTACAACTGGAATGAGATGAACCATACATAATAACACAATCCCCCAGCTTTGTTCGTTTAAAATAAACAACAAGTAGTTTGTGAAAATATTAGACAATAATTTAGGCATTAATTATTTATTCTGATATTACTTATTAATACAATTTCAGTAAAGAATAAGGGCTTTGAAGGGAAATTACAAAACCTTAATCATACGATGGAATGGGTTGTAGTAATCTGTTTTGAAGCTTGGTTTTATGCTCTCATGAAAATCAGATGCAAATCTTACGGCCTACATTTGACTGTGTATATATATATTGCAAATTCACACAACGTTAGTGTCACAATTTCAACCTAGCTAGCGACGACCATGATTTAAAATTTTAAAATTTCATGGTCCACTTAGTATGCAGAATTAGTGCAGATTCAAACGAAACCAAACACATCCCACACCTTAATATCCCCGTCAAGGCTTCCACTGAAGAGCGTAACGACCCCGTTTGAGTCACCTTCAGTTTCAACACTCGAAAATGCCACCAATGACTTGATCGGTTTCTCGTGTCCTTCCAACACTGCCCTACAACAATACCCACTACTCTTCCTTTCTTGTTTCCAAATCCTAACCGTTAAATCTGCAGACCCACTTGCCAACAAACCAGCCACGTTGATCAAACACAGTATGGCCCCACTATGACCCCGCAACGTTTCCACCTTCACGACGTCGTTTTCACTGCACTTCCTCTCCCACCTGCAGATTGTGCCGTCGCTACCACCGGAAAATAACGCCATGCCATCGCCGTCCAATGCAAGCGCATTAACGGTTGATTTCTGCTTCCCTGTGGTGCTCACCAACGTGTGCCGTTTCACCTTATCATCCCTCTTCCAAACCTTGATGCAACCATCAGCGGAGGCAGTGTAAACGGTGCCGTCGTAGGCGACGGCGACGGCGTTGATGGCGTCTTCATGCGCCTTAGTAGACTCCAAACACCGGTAACTCGACAAGTCCCATATCTTAAAACTTTTGTCCCATGAAACCGAGTACATAAGCTTCTCGTTCACTGCTAAACCCGACACCGTGTCGCAATGTTGTATCCAGAGCCTCCTCCGGTGGCGTCTAACGCTGACGTAGTTTTTGGGTACCATGCAGCGGCGCAACCTGTCCTTCACGGTGGGGAGGGACGACAGAAGACGATGTCGTTTGGAAGGAGTGATCAGCCACACACGAATCTTGCAGTCTTGGTGAGCGGTGAAGACCCTTGAACCACTGAACGCGATGGACTTGACGAAACCTGACCCGTGGTTTTCGTTGAATGCGTCAACTTGGGTGTAATGGGAGAGATCAAAGACGTTGATGAGGTTGAGGGATGCAGCGTATAGAAGGTTTCGGTGAACTGCGAGGCAGGTGATATGGGGTGTTAGGGTTTTGAGGGAAGTAACACAGTAAAAATTGAGGTTGAGGGAGCTAGGGTTTTCGTGTTGAAGGTGGAGCGTGGTGGAGCCATTCATTTTGAACGTGAAAGGTTCAGAGTGAAAGAGAGTTAAGAGACAGTGAGTGAGGCAAAGGGGAGTAGCTGAAGCGGGAACATAAGTAGTGGTTGGGATTTCTTCTTGGAGAGGCACGTGGCATGTTTTGAAGGTTAAACACGTGGCAAATGCATAAAGCTTGAAGGAGTAACTTGGTGGGGCATTAAAATTAGTGGCGGGGTCCACCATGATATCTTGGACCCACAGAATCAGATTGGGCAGCTTGTTGCTTGTGCGTAAACTTTGGGATGATCTTATGTACATCTGTAGTAGGTACATATGTCATTCAATAAATGATATTTGGATAAAAATTGTTTTTTTCTCTTTTCCATACAAGCATGACAGTCATTTCTCATTTTTTATTGGATAAATACACTAAGTAAATAGTACAAGTACCATAAATATTTCCGAAAACTTGAATGATAAAGTCTTATTAGACATAAATTATTAGGCGTTGTATATTCACTTCATTTTTAATCAAGAATGTATGTAGATGATGTACCAAAAAGAAAGAAAGAAAGAATGTATATAGATATTCTAAAGTGATATTTTTAGAGGGAAGATATTCTAACTATTAAAAATATCTACTATCAATTTACTACTTCTACAATTACCATTGGATCAAAGAGAGAAAATGTTAAAAAAAATTTGAAGAGAGAGAAAATATTGATCCAATGATAATTATAAAGATAGAGGATTGGTAGTAAATTTTTCTAGTAGTACGAATATCCTCATTTTTTTTTATACATGCTAAAGTGAAAGTTTTATTTCTATTGAGTTGTTAATTTTGCAAAGAATTCATATGGTAGGTAAGAAATTATAAAGTAATTTGAGAGTAAATTTCTTAACTATTAATTTTAAATTTAATTAAATTAGTTTTGTAAATATGTAATCTAATCATTGGTTTTATGAATTAAACGAGTTAGATTATTCAAGTATAATAAATTATTTTTATATTTAGTATTTATAATATTAATTTTTTGATTTAATATATAAATTGTTATTACACAGTTCAATTATTTGTTGTAAGAAAATATTATAATCAAAATATTAAAAAATAAAATTTAAGTAAAAAATTAATATAAGCATACATTTAATTTTATAAAATATATCAGAAATAATAATATTTAAATTTTAATAAACCTAAGACTTAATTTTTTTCTAATTTGTTCGTAATAATATTTATATACACTTTTTAGTCTGTCTTTTATAATTAAATTTTTTATTAAACTTTAATTATATTTCTATAACTTTTTTCTTAAATTTTTAAATAAAATTATTTTGGCAAGAAACACACTTTCTTCCTCTATTATTTTTCTGAATTTTTAAAATTTTCATTTAATTAGATTTTGTCCCATATTAATTAACTGTTATTAAATTAATAATTTTCACAATAAAAAATATTATGTTAATTTAAAATTTTAAAGACATTTTTAGAACATAAACATTTTAAATAGAAATTTGATAATTAAAAAGACTTAGTAGACAAAAATATGCTTTTAGTTTATTATTTTCATATAACGTTAATAATTCATTGATATTAAGTGCTTTTCATTCATGTACCCCAAAAAAAAGTGCTTTTCATTCAAGATAATTCTACAATTCAATGTATTGAACGCATGTCAAAAAAGGTATATATCACAAGTCATTTAATTTGCTTTAAACTTTGATAGCAAGGTAAATCTAAATATTTATGACTATTAATTTATTTATTTATTTATTTTGTATATAAGGGAAAATAAACTAACAGCTAACTAGTCTGGGAGTAGAAACACCTATAAAATTCTGTTTCACAAGGGAACAACAACCCAAGGGAGATTCTCAAATAAAACCGTATTCCAATACTGGAGAGGAACATGTTGGCTAACCAATTCACATCATAATATCTAGGGGTGTTCATCAACTGACTCAAATCAATTTAAAATGCGGTGATCGAACCGAAAAATTGATAACCTAATAAATCGAAAACCAAAAAAACCCATAAATTTTAATTGGATTGGATCGATTTTCGGATTGGTTGATGAAAACTGATTCAATCTAAACCGATCAAATATATTAATTTCTCTCTACTTACTTGGACCTTTCTCCGATCATAGCCTAAAAATTTCTAAACACAAGATCCATTAACTCACCAACTAAACCCAAAAAAAAATCTAGTCACATCTCATCAACAAAATTTTATCTGTGTAGAGTTTCATATCTCATTGCCCAAAAAATACTATATTATTATTCAAATCTCCCCAGTACCACATTTGGGAGGGGTTTAAAGCCTTAATCCTGGACCAGCTCCGAATCGGATTAGTTGCGAAACAATGAATCGATTGAAATATTTCCAAAAAAAAAAAACTTTATTATCGTTTAGTGATGCTTTTGTATTTCAATTTTATTTTTTTACAAAGCCAATATATACAAAAGAAGTTATTTGCACAATAATCATGAATTAAATTTTATGATTTTCAAAAAATCGAAAACCGATCTAATCCAAACTGAAAAAAATTAGATTGGATCGAATCGGATTTGAAAAAAAATTCAAATCGAATGGACGATTACATGATCAAATTGAAAGAATTGGATCAGATATTTTTTGTTTTAAAAAATGATCCAATTCAGATCACCAACATCCTGGTATCCTCTCTATGGTGTGAGAGATCCGAACAGTCCAAGGTCGACGAATAAGAGACTGAATTTTCTGGACAAGGTTGAAGCAGGGCTTGTAGTGATCACAACCATTCAATAAGAGATTAACCATGGTGGAAGAGTCCCTTTGATTAAATGTTGACTTATTGTGCTTTAGGTTTTCAATGGAGGTGACATCTCCTCTTTAGGCTCACAGTATATAAAAAGCGAACAAATGCATCATGGTGAGCTAATTTCTATTTTTTTAGTAATTAATTTTTATTCTTTTTTAAAGTGCGATGATTTGTTCGCTTTTTACTGTTTTATGTTTAAAAAAACAAAATCGATGTGCCGGACTTTATTATTCATCCACTCTAATTTAACCTTTTTCATTGTTTATTATTTCCAAATCTTTCTCTTTCTTACGAATATTATTGCTCACTTTCTTCTGAAGCATGTTTTATTCTGATACTTCCTTTTATTAAATTGAATTTCATTTTCATTGAAATCACATTATTCCAAGCAATGGAAAGCAAACAATAATGAGCTAAATTGTATTTGTTAATTAAAGTGTAATGATTTGTTCTCTTTATTATTTTACTTCAAAGAAACCTCAATCCATAGTCACTTTATTTTTCATACACTTTACTTGAACTCTTTACCGTTTTTTCCATGAATATTTTTCTTCATTTTTTCCCTGGATTTTTGCTTATAATATCGCATGATGTTTCAGACTTTAAGTACGGAATTAACTTCTGCCCAGACAAATAGGCATTTGCCTTGTTCACAAAATGTTTTTTTTGTGAAATTGAAATGTTTTACTACAATTAAAGTTTCATCCACATAATATATAACTCAGTTGTCACACCTGATGATTATTTTTTCATTGCTTGTAAAACCTCTTTTATATGTACCAAAAAAAAAAGAACCTCTTTTATTTTACTATTTCTTTATGAAAGTTTGTTTTCATTAAGTAGCGTATCAAATGTTGGTAGTTCAGTTAGTAGAAATGAAGCTGAGTAGTGGGAAAAAAATAGTTTCGGTTCAATTTTCACATATCATCTTTGGAAAGGACTTAAAATTTTTATCTCTGACCCGTTCCACACTCTGGATTAGTCTCATAGTCGGTTCAAAGAGCCAAAATTTATGGGAATACCAAAAATAGTCAACTCATCTCAAAAAAATAATTAGGATTGGGTAACTCAAAAATAAAATAAAATAAGTAACATCATTATTTCATTCAATATATAGCAGGGAAAATTTTATTCATATTTTAACAAGTAACGATTATTATTTTAAAAGTGAGGTCTATAAACTTGTGAGATGGAGGCAAAGGAAGATAAAATGAAAAGAAATTCTGCGGAAAAAAAAAAGTGAAAATATCATTCCGCACAAGTGCTTTCCCTCATGAAAAACATCAAATTAAAAGCACTTAACTATGAACTCAATTTCTGTTTTATTTTATTTTTTTTAATTTCTCTATCAATTCATCATAAATGCAGAAACCCGATTAATATTGTTCGGGGTGGGTCGGATTCATGAATAAACTCTTACGACACTGATATATTGTCACTTTATTATTGATCATTCACTTTAATTTAATATTTTTTTATTGTTTATTATTCCCAAATCTTTCCCTTTCTTATGAATACAAATATTTCGTTTTCTGCTCGCTTCCCAATCCTCTTTTATTGTGCTACTTCTATCCAAGTTCGTTTTCAATAAAGTAGCAATATTTACATTAACCACCACACCATCAATAACTTTCCTTTCTGTTGAGAGACATTATTAGCTAAGATACCTACGCAAGAGACATGACTTTGATGCAATATATAGTAGAATCCCACCAAAGAGTAATAAAATATATTATATGACCCTTGAATATAATAAAACAATACGTAAATGGCAATGCCATTAAGAGCATCAAACAACGGTGATGAATGTGTATAGGGTTCCATTTTAAACCTATTATTTGTGCTTACGTGCCAGAAGAGTATCATATCACTGCCATGAGGTGTGGCCCAGGATGGAAACGTGTCATTCTATGTCGCCTTATTCTTTTTCTTGGACGAAGCTTCACTCCAATAGAGTTGCGCTGAAAGTTATATTCTATTGGGTTCATGGAATGTAGCACAAGCTTATGCATATTTTATTATGGCATCAAACGGATGCTTTCTTAATGATTATGTGCATATGTAAAATGAACACCACTTAGGTTGAATTTAATTCGTGGTAGAGCAAAAAGCATGTACCGTTGGTTCAAATGGAGGGACAATAGGGGGTTAATTGCCGTCCTGCGAACCTTTTTCTGAGTGAACAAAAAGGCCATTGAGGAATACCAGTGCGCTGACTTAAGTGCTGACCACATCTATAGGGACAGCGTACATACACACATACTAAAGGAATAGCTACACGTTCGCGTAATTGATACTTTATTGTGTAATTTTGCTAGTATAGACAAAACTTATTAAGTGCAGCCTTTCGTGTCCTGTTATCAGGCTGCTACTCGTTCAATTAGAAATTGACAAATACATCTTTTATTTTTTTGGATTTCATTTTTCTCATATTGCTAG